GAAAATATGACCATTCGCTATTGGGGAGGGGGCCGGGGATGCTTCTGCTACTCTCCCCCCCCCACACATACACACAATCACTAACTTCTAGATCCAAAGCGGCTTCATTTGTTGATGAGTCCGGAATGGCTTGTCCTATTTTTATCTCTCCTGTTTCCCTTTTTTTCTCTTTCTCCTCCAAGAGTTGCCGGAGAAACTGGACGGCCAGGTCCGCCGGCCGCTTGGATGGTCCATCATGCTGGAGGCCAGGAATGGCTTTCTGGGCCAGAGGCCGCCCCGAGAGCAGCCAGGGGCCCAGGCGGCCTCGAAAGACAAGCCCTGAAATGCCCCCCCCCGGCTTTGACCTTGCCCCCAACCCCGGACCGGCCTCTCACCCATCCCTGGTGGGATCTCAGGGGGAGGACAGGAGAGGAATGGAAGGGAGCGGGAGGACATGAGAAAGCCTCATGCACACGCGGTGGGGTGTTTTGAACCCCTCGGCCCGGTGCCGCGACTGAGCAGCAGCCCCCAGTGGCCGGAGGGGGCTTTGGACTTGAGCCGCGCTGGTTGCGACCTCAGTTCCGCTCAACTGGTTTGAACGGGGGGGGGGTCGGGTCTGGGTGGGTTGCTTTTTTCTATTGCCTGATCCACAAAGCAGTAAAGTCAAATCCTGTTTTTGTTTGTTTGTTTGTTTCGTCTTGTGAAACGCCCGGCCTGCAGTCCAGGCGCGGTTGGCCTCCACAGAAGTTTAGTCTTCAAGCTCCCGCTAACTCAGGGGGTCCCTCTGTGTGTCGGCCTTACACGCAGCCATCAGTGTAGCCCCCTATCAGTGGGACGAAACCGAATTTGCCCCAGATCTGATTTGTGGAGGTTTAGCTGCAGAAGTTCTGCCTCAGTTTAGTCTTAGTCTAAGTATACCCAGACGGAAGCCCGTCCAGCTGAGTTCTACGGGCTTCTTTCCCCCAAAGCGTGTTTACATTCCTACCCCGAACTTCGTGCAATATTCGACCTTTTTTTTTTTTTGTTGGCGGGCAGCCCGGTCCCAAACCTGCTTAAGCTACAGGATTCGGATTCTAGCCAATTTCGTCCTCTAGGTTGTCGATGTGTCCCGAGTGGCGACTTTCCGACGACCGTGTCAGGAAAATCGCGTGCCTGCCGATTAGAGCACACGCACGATGGGGCTTTTGGACAACGCCGGTGGGGAACTACGACCCCAGCCAAAAGCATACAGGCATTTGCCTGGCCAGACAGAGATATAGGTAGAGATCATCCATCACGGGTTAACTGCTCCCGCTCCTAGCCCTTATGTCCAAAGCTTTGGTCTTGACTACTTTAATGCACCAACTGCTTAAGCATGATGTGCAAGGGTAGAGCATCATGTGCTAGTGGTGCAAGCACAGATACTTTGCTGGGCCTTGGAAATCTCTCTCTCTGGCACCCAGGAATATATGTCATCCAAGACTTGGCCCTGTATAGCTTCAGGAAACATCTGTTCTTGTGTATTTCCTTTGTACTCCATTATCCAAATCAGACTGCCAAAGAACGCTGTTTGAATCAGTCCTGAGATCCCCCTCACCCTTGAGCAGAAAATGCAGATAGAATAGTGTGTGTGTTGGGGGGGGATCTGAGTCAGCTCTCCCCCTTTCTTAAGAGCAAGTGTTGATCAGATCTGAATCCAGGAGAGCCTCTACTCCAAAGACACTTAAAAAGTCAGCATCCAACTTTAGTTAGTAAATAAAAACAAGGCTCGTCTAGAACTCTTATCTGCTAGTTGAAGCTTCTCTAATCTTGGCTAAGTAGTTCTCTCTTTTCTCTCCACTATCCAACCCCACTTCTCTTTTTCCCCCCTCCCTTGGTGTTGAGTAAACAGGCTCAGTGTATGGAGCTGGCCTATTCACCAGTTTAGGGGTGTTTTTTCTTTCTTTCCCAGTTCCTATAGAAAGTTGTGGTGGTTTTTTTTTTCTTAAATCCTAAATAGCATTGAGTAGCCCAGCCCAGGGGACAGTGATTAATGATAGTACTGCCTAAAGGTTAACATACTTCACTGAAAAGTCTGTTGACTGGGATCCTTGTGACACAATGTGGGCCACTGCACGCCTCAAGAGAATCCTTTTGTTGGGCCCCGGCCTGATTGTGTCCTCAAAATTCTGCCCACGAAAGTTTGCCAACCCTCCTCCTTGCCCCAAGAGTTTAATAGTTTCCCTCACTCGGCTGGCATTGTGTCCCGGTGAAAAGCAGCCCCCTCTCTATTCAAATGCTGGTGGTCATCTCAATAGATCTCCAAACGCCCATATGGTGACCACTGGAGATGAATCCAACTGTTTAAATGGGGGAGAACGTTGGGGTTTTAAAACATTTCAAAGTGTTTGAAAAGATCCCGACCAGATCCTGTCACAATTCTCTTTTGGCTTTGATGGCCAGGGGCCATTGTTAACTGATTATCAACAATCTTACTTTAAAGTTGATTTCCCACAAATATACACATACGTGTACATGTATGTATACATTTTTGAGCCCAGGCAGCAAAACAGAAGAGCTTTTCTCTTAGGATCCCCCCCACCCACCTTACTATTTTTCTCACTCTTCTTTCTGCTCTGGCGTGTTTAAGTGTCAAAAGAATCCCCTTTATTTTCATTGAGCCACATCAAAACCACTCTGAATTATACTTTGAAAGGAGAGAGTTAATTTACTGACAACTTCACTGCCTCTACAGAAATATCCATTTCTTACATATATATATATGTAAGAAATGGACATTTCTGTAGAGGCAGTGAAGTTGTCAGTAAATTAACTCTCTCCTTTCAAAGTATAATTCAGAGTGGTTTTGATGTGGCTCAATATATATATATAAAACACATCCAAATGATGCCTCCCCCTTTCTCCTGTTCTTCAGAGTCTGCAGACACTTTGAAAGACAGCTTAGACCATGAGCAAATCTTTACCTCTAGCAGCAATGCAAAAACAATAAAACTTTCTCTTGTTTAATGATAGAAATTACATTAAAAGTGGTAGAAATGCCCTAATTAAAAATGTACCACTTCAATGATATGCCAAGCACTCAGCTGCAGAATAGTACATTTAGCTACTTAGCAAACTCACTACTATTTCTTTTTTAAATTACATGTTAAAATTTTAAAAGAAATCTTACTTTTCTCTGGTGCAACACATTACAAAGAATGGACAGTCCTTTTATCTAAATATAAAATTCCATTTTCAGCAATTATAGCCTGTTCTTGGTGATGATATAATTACAGCTGTGCTCTGTAATAGGTGTCAAGGCAATGCACACTCATACAATAGTTGAATAAAACTGCAGAACAATGCAGGCACTTCTAAATTCACAACCTTTAAAATGAAATTGACTGTGCAGAATTCAAATCAAAACTAGATAAATATTTTTTAAAAAAGATTACAAGCTTGGTTTGGTTTCTTAATAGCATTTTCTGCAAACCTATCAACATCTAATTGATTAGATGGGAATTACTGATTACAGATAATCTGAATACTGTACATCACTATTTTAAATCAAGCAATAGGTACACATATTCCATAGAAGGAGAGTTTTGCAGGGCATTTGGGGGGGGGATCACCATTTTATTCATTGAAACAATGCCTTTGCTTACTATATTTGGAAGTGAGTAAAGAGGGGTGTTTTATGTTATTAGAATAAATATAGATTCATTAATTTGTCATTTTGTAAAGAGCTACTGCTAAAATATTTTTTATTTGAATACAACTTATATCCAAACTGTAATATACTAACTTGTGTTTTTGCTTTGTTTACTGTGGGAAAGTAGCCAGGGAACTATTACCAGACCTGCCCGGCAACAGTTGATGAGAGAACTCTCGGATAAAAAAGACACTGCAGACTTTATCTTGTTAGTATTCAGGTACCAGTAGAGAAGAAGATGGCTACCTTCTTCACCCCAGACGTTTTTATTAAGCACGCAAAACAAGCAAAATTAGCATAAGATAAGAATTTGGCGTCGTGTGGTTATCAGTCTTAAGGCATTCCACGCCTGCGCACAACGAGAATCACATAACAATGGGATGATTATAAGGAGAATCACAGGAGAATGCATGATTATACTAAAATAATGATTATGTTAAACATCACTGATGTATCCCTAAACAACCACAAAATGGAGCTCTAAACTACAAAATCCCGACAGTTTACCATTATTCTGAGCTCCAAAATATTAATTCCTTCTTATCCCAGACACCGTGACACACAGAAGTTCTAAACTGATCGATGCTTTAAATATGGCATTTCCTCTGTCTCAGAAACTATGGGTTCTTAGAGTACAGCCTCATATTCAGGTTCACAAACCATTGACCCTGGGACATGGTGCCAGCCCAGTGATGCTAATGCATTTGCCATGAACTCTGTGTGCACAGGTCTCCCTCTGAATTTCAGAGTAGCTGTCAATTTTGTGCGTACCCTTTGCATGGGAGAGTTCCACATCCCACAACAGGAAATTAATAACAAAGACACCACAGAAGTTAGAGACATATGATTTTAGCTAGACATATGGCAGAGATGAGGACTGAAGTTGCGGGATTCACTGTCAAGTTGGACTTATGTCGCACCGGTGACTCAACTCATTTTTCTTTCCCCCAGTGACTCAGTCTCAACTCTGAGTCCACCCACCCCTCCCTTTTTTTTCTGGGGAAAAGAGCTTGTTTTTAATAAGGGCTTGGGACTTGGTGCCAAATATTTGGACTACGACCCAAAGACTTGCTGACATCCCTGACATATGGACAGAAGAACTAGCACGCTCTGTGTGTGTTCGATAAGGGTGGAAATTGATTTAAATCTAAATATGCTGGTAGAAGTGTCATCTGGAATGACCTGTAGGAGGTGCATCATATATGTTGTAATGAACATCCAATTGAACAGACAGAGTACTGTATTTGTAATTTGGATGTGCTGAAGAAGAGGGATTCCCAAACATAATACGTATGGCAGCATTCCATTCAGTCTGAATTTTTCTCAGAATCTCTTTCTTTCTATGATGCAGATGGCTGCCCACAACAAGAAGGAGGGGGTGAAAATACTAACTCCATCAGTTCAAATGGGGAAGATTCAGACGAGGCCCAGATGAGACTCCAGCTGAAGAGGAAGCTGCAGAGAAATCGGACATCTTTCACCCAAGAACAAATTGAAGCGCTTGAGAAAGGTAACCCAACAGAGCCTTTTGCATCCATGTGCAAGAACCAGAGCAAGGGAAGTATATTGTACTCTCCACTGGAACATTCTGACAAGTTCTGGATGACAGTGTTGATTAAAAAAAAAAACCTCAGGGAGCCTCGTGGCGCAGTGGTTAAACCGCTGTACTGCAGCCAAAACTATGCTCATGATGACCCGGGGTTCAAATCCCAGGTAGCCGGCTCAAGGTTGACTCAACCTTCTATCCTTCCGAGGTTGGTAGAAGGAGTACCCAGCTTGCTGGGGGGAGGGGAGGTGGAGCCCACATAATTAAATTGTAAACCGCTTGAAGCACTATGCGGTGGTATATAAGCAGCAGGGTTTTTGCTTCTTATGGCGTCTCTTATATACCATAAGACAAAAGTGACAGTGCACCTGACATGACAGCATTTGAAATCTGCTGTTCAAATACTCCAACAGCCATGATATGGTCATCTTACATGGGTGGCGTCACTGTCATGAGATCCTCTAGTTCCACTCATTATTCTGAGGAGCATTGTAAGCAGCAGCAACGACGTCTCTAGGTGCTGACCCAAACTCTTGCTGATTTTTTCCTTTATGATATATTCCGTGATCTGCAATCATGTGATTCAATATTAATCTCACAATCCAGCAGAATATGCATGTGCATGTGCATGCATGGGAACACTGGCAAATGATATTTTTCCCTTTGGGAACAAACCCCCAGAATATCTTGTTCCCAAGTACTTTTGTGAAGCTGTTCTTCATCAAAGATTTAAAGCACTGAGTGCACTCAGACATATATGGAAGTTGAAAGGAAAAGGTGATAGTTCTTTCCGAAACCTATTTTTAACATTACTTCTATAATGTTTTCTTTTGACTAGAATTTGAGAGAACTCATTATCCCGATGTCTTTGCCAGGGAGAGACTAGCTGCCAAAATAGACTTGCCTGAAGCAAGAATACAGGTATGTAAATGACCTGACAATATTTCTCTTGCTCCGTCCCTCCTTACGTCCCTGCCTTGCTCTTTTTCTCACTCTGTAAAGGGGCATGCTGATCTTTTAAGGGTGAATTGTATGGGTTCCAGCATGAAGATGAGAAAGCACATATCTATCAACAGTGAATAGTGTTCAACAGTGTTTCATCTAGATTTCAACTGGACTTACACATGTGTTGCAAGTCCCTACACAATGAATGTACAGCTGATAAGCCCTTATGGAAAGCTTGCCTTTTATGCTGATAATCTCATTTGCCTGTGGCTAAACATTTGCTCACCCCCCATAGAATACAGTGGCCAGATGCATAAATTGAATTAATGAAGGCCCACTTTATTAACTATTTGTGTAAGGTCTGCATGGTGGCTGCTAGAGGTGTAGGCTGTGGTTAAGTCATAGGTCAAACTAGATCACTCCATGGGCAATACCTTGGGATAGTCATCCAAACTCTGTTTTCAAGTCCTTTCCCATAGTTTACACCAACTATCACCCAAGATTAAGGAAGGCCGTTCCAGGTGAGACTATGGGATAGACTACACCCAAAAACTGTTACTTTCCGTCCCTGGGCACCGCAACCCAAGGGGCACGTTCAGAGTCTGCTATCCATAAAATTGATGCCTATGGATGCTCTCTGAAATATCAGCCATTTTTCCCTTTACAATGACCTGCCAAAGTGACCAACTATTTAACAAGCAACACTTTTATTGCCAGGTATCCCATAGTTCATTCCAGCTCAGTGCAGGGTAAGAAAAAAAAACATCTGTCTGCCAAGAGCACCATTTCGAGGGCAGAAATTCCTACCCAGCCTTGAAGCAGTTAACTGATGCTTGCATTGAGCAAAAAAGAGGGTGGCTGGGCCAAGCCAGGATTCAGACGAGGAGTTTCTGGGGCTGGCTTCAATTTCAAAAGCTCAGCAGTGTTGCCCCAAGTTTTGTCCTGGGGGACATGGCTCTTATGGGTGGCCACCTGTCTGTGTAACACCAGCAGAGAGATTATTATCCCCAGCCATTTGGTAGCAAAGGTAAACAGTTGGTATAGTTATTCAGGAAGATGAGGTCTGGTCCAAGATATTTTGATAACTGAGGCAAAGGGAGGGGGTGGGGGGCAGCCTTCATTCCATATGCAGAAGCTCTGGCAGATGAGTTTTACCTAGGTACATGTGACAGGTGGGCATCCTCTACAGCAAACTTGGGCCTCCAGATGTTCTTCAACTTCAACTCCCAGAAATCCTGGCCAGCAGAGGTGGTGGTTATGAGGGTTTTAGTCCAAGAACATCTGGAGGCCCAAGGTTGGGGACCGCTGCTCTACAGCACCTGTGGGCAATGGCTAGCCTACAAGGCTGAAGACAAGCTGTTTGTCAAGTACAGCTTTGTCCTCCAACACTTTGCCATTTCTCCCCCGCCCTCAGTGTCTGCCACTTGAGGCCTCTGCTTCACCCTTCCACATGGTAGGACCAACTCTCTTGGTCTTTGCAAAGCCACCATGCTTTAGAGGATGGCTAAGCCAAGCCCTTTTGCATGTATGCACTCTGGGACAACACCTGTGGTTCACTACTCTTAATGGAAATGGTTTTGTCTTTGCAGGTTTGGTTTTCCAATCGGAGGGCAAAGTGGAGACGGGAAGAAAAACTAAGGAATCAGAGAAGACAAGCCAGCAACACCCCCAGTCACATTCCCATCAGCAGTAGTTTCAGCACAAGTGTCTACCAACCAATCCCACAACCCACGACACCTGGTAATAATCTTTGAGACAAATAATGATCAGTCACTCATCCATTCAGGGCAATACAACAGAAACGCTCTTTAGAGTAATGCAGTCATCTGACTGAAGCGTAAACTAATACGTTCATCCTGTCTATCTATTCTATTCTATTATAGTTTCCTCTTTCACATCAGGTTCAATGCTGGGCAGAACAGACACCGCGCTAACAAACACATACAGTGCTTTGCCACCCATGCCTAGCTTCACAATGGCTAACAACCTGCCTATGCAAGTAAGTATAATGTACTAATAAGCTGCTTCTCTCTGAACTGAGTGATTACAGAGATGAAACCTGCCCATTGGCACTTTGGGGGAGATCTAACAAAGAAGTTCTCAAATGTCTAAGGCTGGATCAGGAAATTTTTTGGCCTACCAGGTATTGATGGACTACAGCTCACATCATCCTTCACTGTTGGTTGCTGCAGCAGGCGATGATGGGAAATAAGAGAATAATAACATCAAATGGCAAGCAATTTCCCAAGCCTGGTCTGGAAAATTCCTGCATCCTGCCATTGCCCCATTTTGTTATGTGCAAACTTTCAGTGGGACTGCATAATTTTATTGTTAGCCTTGTAAATTGGGAAACACCTGGCCCCTTATCAAGATTACATCTTTGTACTAATTAATCAAGGATAACTTCCACTGCTTGATCTTGTTTTCCGCTTGTAGCATTTATTTATTTATTTATTTATACCCCACCCTATAAGACCACTCTAGGCGGCTATAATATATAATAACTGCCACTTTATCACATGTTGAAACACAAATTGCTATGTTTTTACTGCTTTAATACTGTAATGACAAGTGTCTATAGAGTATTTGCCGGATAATTAATCTGGGTAAAGTAAGCAAAGCACGATGAGTGAAAGGTAGATCAGAATCTACCAAGAGATCTCTGAATAATTTGCAGTCAATCAGCAGTGTCAGTTTCTGACTCCCAACCTTTTGACAATAAATACAACAAAACAACCCGCCCCTAAGCCTGTGGGACCAATTATACTAGTCCTATCTATGACCAATGTTTGGATAAGCAAAGCTGGACATTTCTTTTAAGTCCTAGTAACAGTGTTCAAGCACAGAATTCTACATGCTTTGGTGCACTTTAATCTTCTCTTTAAACCTACAGTTATAATGCCTCCACTTTTAAATGATTATTTTGGGTTAAAGACTGTTTCTGTAAAGGACATGGGGCAGCCGTAGATCAGGAGCAACTTAACTTGAAACAGATACAGTTTAAGATCAATAAAAAGATGTGATCATATCTATGAGTTCATCACACTCCAATTTTATGGGATATGAGGCCTCTAAGAAACAAGTTGTCAGTATTTTTGGCTGTCTTGTGCTATAGAATTGGCAGGTTGTAGACCACTCCAATCCTAGAGTGGCAGGTCTGCTTGAACAAGAGGAAAACTGGAACAAATTCTTAGGGAATCCATAGGATGACTTGACTGGCCTCCTTTCACTTGGGAATCTATAAGCCCAAGCTCTATTCCAAGGGTGCAGTCCAAATGTGTGCTTTGCTTCGGTGTTGATAATTATGCTCATCAGTTCTGAGCCAAAGGAAGCTAGGCATGCTTAAGAGCCACTGAACGGAAGTGAGTTCTGATTATCTTCTCACATTGATTTCAGTAGGCATAGTCATATCTTGTGTGATCCTGATGTGCTGAATAGAAATTCTGTAAATCTCTTTGTTTATACGGTATATATTATATTGGCCATTTTTGCTATCCATGGATAGATCAGTATGAATGGTCAGTATCCTGTCATATAGCCCTTCTGGCACAGAGCAAATAACATGAACTGCAGCAGAAGAGTTTCTGTTTTGATTACGGATTGCATGTGGCATATATGCAATGAGACAAAATAGCACACAACCCAAAGCAGGAACTCCTCAGTCTGTTGGTGCCAATGACATCACTCTTGCTGTGTCATTGGAGCTGCAGAACAAGATGTTAGCCTCTGGAACTTGAAATCCACTTTCTTTGAGGTGAGGTCACTTTGTTTAGCATGAAGATGCAGGACAAGCCTTGGGGGCAGGATATGTTAAACACAAAGTTGGAGATTGAATCCATTTTGCATATTCCCCTATCCTTTTCAAAGAAAGCCAGCTAGTGTTGGTTTCCAAACTGGTAGAAGGAGTCACAGTAAAAGGGCTGTTGTAGGGACTGCCTGAATGGAATATTGTTGCAGATAACAGGGAAGAATTTAAGAACTTATTTCCAGGTCTTGCACTGATTAACTTGGGGTGAAGAAGAAAGATGAGGGAATTGATAAAGTTATACAAAGTATATATCAATAAAATTAATAGAGGCTCACAAATTTAAATTAAAATGGCAAAAAAATTCGTTTGAGCAAAAGGAAAATATCTGTTTAAGGAATATGTGTAGAAATGGAGAAACTCATTAGTATAGCATTAGTGTGGAGAAAAAGCTTATTAAAATGCTAGCAGGATTACACCTTGGCTGATGAGACACTGTGGCTATTGGCACCCTGGAAATACCCAAGGGGAAGAGGAGGATGTGAATAGCACCTGCAGTTCTAAATAGCTGTGTTAAAATGAGTAGAACTGCCAACCCATATGACTTGGAAGCACATGGGTTGCTGGCTTTGGAAAGAAATACAAATGTAAGACCTAGATCATTATTGTGCATGTGCAGTGGAGATCATAGGAAAAACATGCAAACCAAGATATCCAAATCTCTGTAAATCTTAAAGGAATTTAGAAACAAAATTATCTGGAGTTTATTGGAATATCCAGGCACCAGTTCCAGCAAGTAAAGGGGTGTCTGATCTGTTTAGAGACAAAGGAACAAAAAAATTAAGTGAGTACAGTATGATAATAACAGGTCTATTATATTTGCCTCTATAACCATACTTATCTACCTAAATATAAAAAACCCCTAGAAGATCACATAAAAGTATAATCCACTTAGACTTGCAATCCTGGGAGTATATCCTGATTTACCCAGAGGGGGGAAAAATTAAGGTCTTCTGTCTCAGTAAACATGCACAGAATTTTGCTGCAAGATGAAATGCTTGGATTTAAGCTACTCTTCTATAAACATCAGTGTGACTAAATCATTTCAAATACTAATTCATTGGCTAACCCAGATATTTTACTATGATAGAAAAAACTAAAGGCAACTCATTAGCTCAAAACTATCACAAACTATGAATAACTGCAAGTTTTATGAGCAAGATTTCTTTTTTGGTGGTATGGTTTTTCAATACCTTGCACATTTCCTACATTCTAAATCATTCCCAAAGGCTAAATTGAGTTGTGAGGAGACTTTGAATGAGACTGAGAGGGGAAATGTTTTCACTTTGGGTTAAATACCTAACATAAATTGACTTCTTTCTTCCCTCTGCTCTCCCTCTGCTCTCAATTGAACCCTCCAAAATAGGCCCCAACAATCTGACCCCCAAATCTCCAAAGCGGATATTTGGAGACCTGGGGGCCTATGGGGGGAAAGGGGATATCACATTTTGGTCATTGGAAGCTATTCCATTAATAAGAGGACCTAATGGGGTTTCAACTTTGGCTTGCTCACTCTAAAGCTTGAAACCTCAAAACTGGTTGAAACAGTTGAAAACTGAATTGTTGTCTCCTTTTACAAGCATGAATCCTGCTGATATGGGGAAACTCATTGAGACCAGCGCTCCTTTTTTTTGTTGTTGAATATCCCAAACATCTATGCAGATGTTAACCTCTAATCCAATGCGTTAGTTCCACAGTTTTGTTGGTGCTTTGGAATCATCTGATTGTTGGAGTTTTCAGTTGCCAGGACAAGATAGGTTTGAGTACAAAACATAAGAGACATGCAGATTTGAGGGTTTTGTTTTGTTTTGTTTTGTTTTAGGGGGGAATACACAGTCCCAGAATTCCTCAGGTAACCTAGTATCCATTGCCTCCTTTGAAACAGAGAAGGAAAGCTCTATAGAATGGGGCTCTGGGCATACGTGCTGAGTAAATCTATGAAGAGGACACGGTCTTACTTGATGAAAAGAAATAATTGTTACATTATGACATTTAGACCCACAAACATATTTTCCCCACTTTCTTTGCACAGCCGCCAGTACCCAGTCAGACTTCTTCTTATTCTTGCATGCTGCCTACCAGTCCGTCAGTAAATGGGAGGAGCTATGATACGTATACCCCTCCTCACATGCAAACACATATGAACAGCCAGCCCATGGGCACTTCTGGCACCACTTCAACAGGTAAGTAAGAATTGGGTTTTTTTCTCCTAAAATCGTAAACAACAGGGCCAGATTAAGACATGCTGAGGTACTAAACAATGCTAAGTTTAAGATGGACCTTAGCACCATTTCTCCAAGCACATGGATTTATCATGCAAAACTTGAAATGTAGTGAAATTTAAGGTTGCATTTAAAGGCCTCTTATAATCTGAACCCTAAACTGTAGCTCACTTAGCTTGTGTGTAAATTTTGCTTTTATTAAAAAGTATCTCAAAAATTCAAAAACAGAATACCAGATTGATTTTTTTAAAAGTATGTATTTAATTATGGGGATGTGTGCAGAATTTTCTCCAGTGTGTTTGCAGTGAGGTAAAATTACCTCCTAATATTAGGAAATGATAAAACAGGGTGACATACTAAAATAAACAACACAAACCTAGAAGGTACAGTTGGAAAGGAGTCAAATATCTACATAACATTTCCTCTATTGATGTAAATAATCAATTTAATAGTTAGTCACAGAAACTGTTGTAATTCAGTGTCTGATAAGCCCACCAAAATTACCTACTTGTGTGTTTCTCCATTCACTTCTGTGGGTGAAAGTAGTTCAGCACGCAAAATGTTCTGGGTCGTAGAATGGGGAGCTGTGTGACTGGGAATGCAGAAGGTATCATATATATGCCTATGGCTCCTGTGAGCTGGTCTAGCCCTTCTTAGCAGTTACTCGCCTCAGTTGACCCAACATGTGAGCAGGGAACTGCCTAGCCCTGCCCCCTCAGGCACTGCTTTCCTCTTGCGGAAAGCAGAAGATCTAAAGAGAAGAGGTTCTTGTTGAGAAGGAAGATTTCCATGTGAGTAAGAATGCCAGGAAAATCTGGGATTTTGCTCCTGTGGGAAGCCTCCATGGAAACAGAAGCATATCCTCTTCTGATGAATTGCTTTTAGTATGAGGAAGGTGACACTAGAAGACGTGCAGCTGGTCTCTCCCTTCCTCACCTTAAAATAAGATGAGTCATACTTGAACATGACATCTGTTTGCCTGTCTGTCTGTCTGAACTCACTTCTTAGGATAATCCTATTGCTAAATCAAAGTGCCGTGATACTTCTAAAGTAAGTAAAGGAGGGAGAAGGAAGGAGTTTTTAAAGACCATTTACTTTGTTTCATGGCCAGTGGGGAGGGGCTGATATTTAGAGCAGCAGCTTCAGGATGAAGGAAGTGATGGTACAAGGCAAGGAGGGCCTTAGAAAGGATGTATATCCATTGCCTCCCCGGATCCACCCACACCAGACTCTAAGCCACCCAGAAAGCAGTGTTCTGTGTCCATCTTCAGGGGAGGATAGCCAGTATGGCCTTAGAGATAACATTTCAGGGGCCTCAAACTTAATCTTCTGAATACAGAGGGATCGAAATCTGTTGAAACAATCCAAGCAGATTTCAGCACTTGAAAGTTCGGTTGGTTTAAATGAAAGAGCTGTGCACTTAATTATTTTCCACTGAGATCAATAGCATCTTAAAGTGCTTGTCTTTTGTGCCTGGATTGTGCTGCAAAATGTGAACCTTGACCACCTCAGTTCTTCTTATCTGAAGGCCCTCTTTAATCTCTTTATTAAATAATATATCCAGGTCAGCTTTTCTTCTAGATTGATATAAATATTGTACATTCCTAGCAATGAATTCAAGTGCTGAATTTATGTTCTATGTATAATTACTGATTGATTGCAGAAGGTCAGAAAATTTTAGGTGTACTCTTTTAAAAGCTCTTAAACAAAGGATATGTAGATATGCAGGATATGGATACGGGTCTATGTGTATTAATTGTTTTCCCTTTTCTCTCTAATTTAAAGGTCTTATTTCTCCTGGAGTGTCGGTTCCTGTTCAAGTTCCTGGTAGTGAACCTGACATGTCTCAGTATTGGCCAAGATTACAGTAAACCATGTGTTGATTTTGTAAATTGCTATATGGACAACAGTTGGAGGTTCAGCTGTCTTTTCTAAAAGAAGAATGGCTTTCAAAGTACTTCTGTACTACAACTGTTCCCTACAACACAGCACAAGAAGGACTTTAACATGGACCTTTGTATATGAAAGGCGCTATATCAGTTGGAACAAATCTTCATTTTGGTATCCAAACTTTTATTCATTTTGGTGTATTATTTGTAAATGGGCATTTGTATGTTATAATGAAAAAAGAACAATGTAGACTGAATGGATGTTTGCTTTTGTGTTGGTCATGAAGTTGTTTTTTGTTTGTTTGTTTGTTTTGGAAAAAAAGGAAGCCATGATCAACAAGCTTTGCCACGAATTAAGAGTTTTATCAAGCTATATCGAATACTTCTACCAAGCTGTTCATAGATTTCAGACTGAGACTCCAAGTTTGTATCATTCCATTGCATATAATTCAACCTGGAACAATACACAATAGATTTCTGTGAGAAAAATATCTGTTGGGATTTCCAAAGGATATTAACAGATGATGCTCATGTGCAAACAAAGGGTTAAGAGAGAACTTCAAAGAAGAAAGGTCGATAGGAAAAGGGTAGATTGTGTCTTCGATATAATCCGATTTGTTTTATGTCAAAATGTAAGTATTTGTCTTCCCTAGAAATCTCCCAGAATGATTTCTATAATAAAGTTAATTTCGTTTATATTTGACAAGAATATTCTATAGATGTTTTATACACATTTTCATGCATCAAACGTTTCTTTTTTGGTCGGCAAAAGTTAATTGTTCTTAGCTATAGTTGTACTACTGTTCACAGTCCAATCATTTTTGTGCATCTAGAATTCATTCCTAATCAATTAAAAGTGCTTGCAAGAGTTTTAAACTTAAGTGTTTTGAAGTTGTTCACAACGACATATCAAAATTAACCATTGTTGATTGTAAAAACCATGCCAAAGCCTTTGTATTTCCTTTATTATACTATTTTCTTTTTAACCTTATAGTGTTGTGTGGCAAATTTTGTTCCTTGTTAGGTTTTAACTTTTTTTTTACATACAGACAGGTCTTACATTGACATTGTTTTCAGTTTAAAATATTGAAGGGCCTCAAGAAATATATTTTATAGTGACTATAGCTCAGTTTGGAACTTCAGGTGAAAGGTTAACAGACTGCTGTAACATCAGAATTATGTATGGAAGTCTAGCTGTATAATATAAAAAGGGAATTTTTCACGTTACACTGAAGTATACAGAAGGGAAGAGTTTAGTTAATAGGGGGGGAAATCTAGTTAACTTTTATGACAGTTCTGCACTTTGGATTTTGTGGGATAAATGTGGATTTGTAGAAAGATTTGGATTTTCTACTTCAGTGAGGCTGCAATCCTGAAATCACTTATCTTCAGATAAATGCAGTTTAAATCTAATTGAGATTAACTTGGGCGATTTGGTTGCAAGACTGCAGCCTCAAATAGTTTTTCTTTTTAAATTGTTAAACTGTTTTTCTACAACAAGGGCAAGCTCTCTAAGAATATGACCTCCCTGAGTGCTTTCACAAAGCACCTTCTCAGAATAATTTCCCAATGAACTTCTGAAGTGGTGAATATTTCATTGGTTTTGCACAAGTGTGGGAGAAGGTGAAGAGGAGCCTGTCAAAAAATAATTAGGAAAGAGAAGTTAACTGGGGCCCCAACAATGCAAACTGTGACAGGCTACTGAAAGCTGAAGGTCTTGAGTCATTGGCAGTTAAATATAAACATTCCCACATCGATGAAGTAGGCTCATTGTGGCCCAGCTGTTACCTACAATGTTGCAATGAAGAACAGACGGATGATGTGTAAAAAGGCAATGCACAGAGAGCTAGGAATCAAAGGGAAGGCACTACAAGCTGCCTTTGTGAAAAAACAGAGGAGAGCCTTTTTCTTCTGCTCAATGTGCCATGTAAACAAATATTGCTTTTTCTGTAACTTGGCACAATTGTGCTTACTTGGACATAGATACTAGTTTGCTAGCTCTGTTGAAGCATCTGGATGTATAAAGTGCTTCCATTGACAAATGCAGGAGAGCTCAACAGGCAAGGCATAATATGGGCTTTAATTAGGCCGTGCGCACGCAGATGCGCGCGTGCGCGCGCACACGCGCGCACACACACACACACACACACACACACACACTTAATGCAAGTGGAAATAAAGATGCAAGATTTTATATGGATACATTTTTCACAGAGGGGAAAAACAACACAGCTTTTTGATCTCAACAAAAAGTGGTGTTTTGAACAGTCAACACTGCTTTGCTAGCTATTTATTTCTCTCAATCCATTTTAATGTTATTTCATAGAGAGACAACACATTTTATACACAGAGTAATATTAAATGCATATAAATAGATAGCAAACACTGAGGAAATCAGCAATACACAGAGCACATTTCAAAGAAATAAAGGCAACACTTAATGTCCATTTAACTGCATCAGGTTAGAGAGGATGCTTCTTAACCTAGCCCGTAATCCTATCCTGTCTTATTTGGGCATAGGAACCACTGAAATCAATGCAACTTCCCTCTGAATGAAGTTGCATGAAATTCAAATGCTAATTCTTGACAACACAATTTAATCTGAGGATCAGCTGTCTTTCACTATATTTCCTTATCTTGGATATGTATGGAAATGTGTGAATCCTGACAGAAATATCATTTTTTTGATACCTAGACATCAACAGGGCACATTCTGTATTTATCTGAATTGGGCAGCCTATACCCCTTTACACTCTATGAGTTTGATTTCTGGCCTTATAAAGAGAGGTTTTCTCCTTCATGTTTACAGCAACATGAGAGTCAAATCATGTCCTAGGGCACATGACAAAATGGCACTTTTATTCCAGGTTAATTAATCTAACTATCCTCTCCAATGTTTGTATTTAGCATCACTAAAACAGGTTATAAAATGAACAAACTAGATCTTAACAGACAATGCAAGTGTGAAGAGACAGGGGGGAAAACACCACTATATGTTTTTAACCATGTTGATTATAGGTTATTACAATGCATTAAGGGGTAAAATGTGCGAAGTGATCTTAAGAATATTCCAGCAAAGATGTTTTGTAAATAATTTCAGGGCTCAGGTTATGCTATAGGGAGCCTGATACGGGGTGCGGGGGAGGGAGACGCTTCTCCAGTTAGAAACTCCTTATCTTGAAGAGCCAGTGAAGAACTCCAAAGACCACCTCCTCTAGGCCTTCTCCCCTTTCCCCTGCTCTTCTCCCAGCAATTCAGTGTTTAGATATGTTGGACAAGCGTTTCTGTTACTCGGTGGACCTGTTCCATAACAAGGCTTATCTGCATTATCTATTCTATCTATTTTCTTTGCTCTTTATCCAGAGGCATAGTTCAGAGGATGACCTAAAATTGTCATGTGCAAGAGTGGCAGCACATCCTTTGGGTTTATTAGGAGCAAGTACAATATTTTTATAGCTCACTGGCAGGCTGGTGATCCTTCCCTCAGTCCCTGTCATGAACTGGAAAGGCTGGGAAGAGTCCCCGGCTTACAGCTCATTAGGCTGAAGCTAGGCTGCTTGGGCCTGGGAGCACAGCTTGCCTGGAAAAAGTGCTGCTCTCTGAGCCAGGGGGCATTGTGGGTAGGGAACATGAGCTTCGCACGGCATTGTGCTGGAGGATGCTTGTCTGGAACCCTGACAAGAGCCAATTGCCTGCAGCAGGAGGAGGAGGGCTGTGAGAGAGACTGCAGATTCCCAGTAAAAGCAAGTTCAGGGTCATGTGAAATTCTGAGGTAAACCGAACATATATAACAGAGTACAGAACAATTTTCAGGAGGTGTTTTTTTTTAATGATAGAAAGTGTATTTGTAAATATGCATCTGTTTGCCTGTCTGCCTATCTGCCTGGGCTCAGTACAGCTTACAAGAAAACACTGCCATTTGTAAAAATAAAAAGAGCTTGAATATATGTTCCAAATGGCACGTACTGTTAAATTTGGATGGTTTTTTTTATTTTATAAAAGCACTTCATGAGGGTTCATTTTCCTTTCCTTTCCTTTTTTAGTGTCTATTTGCGATACTGAACTCATTTTTATTAAATATATGGGGATTTCTGCTACTGATTTTTTTCCCCTTCCCAGAACAGGCCATTTTGGTACATTGGATTCAGGAATGTGGTGCATTTCCTGTTGCATTGTGTATATGCAGTTAGGATAACAACATACATAAACCTGAAGGCATGTTATGTTCTAGGCAGGCACATGGATAGGGATTTGTGTGTGAATTTGTAATGTCTCCTAATGTGGTGTTCATTTAAAATGTTCACTTCTAGGCAATGTACTGTAAGGGAGAATAACGTATGTTCTCTATTTATGCATCACTTAAACTTTAGATGTTGTTGGTATTCACAGGTTTGTGGCAGAACTGCTATACAAAACTCTTACTACCACCACAATGATCACATCAACTTGTGGCAGAACTGCTATACAAAACTTTAGTAGGCAAATCTCTTACTACCACCACAATGATCACATCAATGTTATCATATAGTAACAATGGGGATGAAAATATGAATTGATTAACTGCTGGTAGTTGCACTTTGTCAAAGAATGTTCAGAGCTGATGGCACTGTAAAGCGAAATCTGCTGTGGGGTTGTTACAGAATTCCCTATATTCTGAAGAGAAGGAATGTTAGGGGCCGCAAAGTCAAGGGGAACTAGAATTGCTTCCCTTTCTGCAATTGAATGTGACCTTAGAGGTACTGCCTGGAAAGTTGCTCTCATTGGTGGAGAAGAAGCTGGATCCAACTCTTTGAAACTCACAAGAATTAGGTAAGGCTATCTAATGGCGCTGCGGGCTAAACCACAGAAGCCTGTGCTGCAGGGTCAGAAGACCAACAGTCGTAAGATCAAATCCATGCGACGGAGTGAGCTCCCATCACTTTGTCCCAGCTCCTCGCCAACCTCGCAGTTTGAAAGCATGTAAATGCGAGTAGATAAATAGGTACCATCTCGGTGGGAAGGTAAAACGGCATTCCCTAGTCACACTGGCCATGTGACAATGGAAACTGTCTTTGGACAAGTGCTGGCTCTATGGCTTGAAAAACGGGATGAGCACCGCCCCCTAGAGGACTAAAAATGTCAAGGGGAACCTTTACCTTTACCTTTTATCTGTTCCAAAGATGAATCAATCAATGCAGAATGCTTCAGGAACCTTGTGTAGAAGTTTCCATGGATTATGCTTTTTATTAAGAAAGATATTAGCATCCTTAACATACCCTCACCATGGAGATACTTTAATATTATTTTAATGAGTGAACTTGCTGCTTAAAAAGCAAGACAGATGCTTATGAAGGTCAGTCAAAAATCTTAATATTTATTTTTGTTACACTAATTTGTTGCAATAAAATTCCACTTCTCCAATCATTTTGAGGTAGTGTACATAGGTTTTTCCTCCCCCCACGCAGTCCTGTGAAGTAGGTCAGTCTGAGAGATTGCAGCAAGCCAACAGTCATATAGTGAATGTCATGGATGACTGAGGATCAGAACCCAGGCCTCCAAAGTCCTAGCCTGATGCTTTGACCACTACTCCATACTGAAAAGAGAGCACCTTTCAAATGCCAGCTTCCTGTTATCCAGAAATGTGGCATTTCTTCCATTGTCATTTATATAAATTAATCTGCACAATACAAGCTAAAGGGAATTCCATTGCAAGCAAATTAAATTCTCATTCATCATGTCAGTGTAGGAAAGGAATGGAACTGTACTGACGAATTATTTCTCCAATGGGATTAGAAAAAGCAGGAAAAAGCAGTTAAATACCATAAACATTTTAGGTTATACTTGACTGACCCATAGGTTCACTAAACTCTTAAACTTTAAAATGCTGATCTAGTCAGGTTT